ATTTACAGATTTCTTTGAATACGACAAGCCGGTGCTACTGTGAAATTCACCTTATGCCTCCAGATCTATGTGACATGTTTTAAAAGATTATATTTGAAGCTGCCATGCTCCCCAAGGGAAACAGGTTGAGGCGTCAGTTATATGCATGATGACAAAGTACATAAAGAGTTATATTACACTTTCTACCAAAAATGCATACTTTCCCCTCCAGAATTCTTTTCAGTGAACATAAACTAAATTTTTGATTAAAATTTTTGTACAAGATCCACATGCTGCAAGACTTTTGAAGAAGCTAAAACACATTGCATTTATAAACATAAGTAAAATAAACTTGGTCTGGTACACAAGAATCTTTTTTTTCTTTTTCCTTTTTATTGGTACCGGGGATCAAACTCACGACTGCCTGCTTGCAAGACAGGCACTTATGCCGCTGAGCTAAACCTCCAGCCCCACAAGACTCTTTAAGAAAGATTATGTGCCTTTTTTTAAAAATTCTGTATCATCATTTCTGTTTTTCTCTTTAAAAGTTTATGTAGAGCTAACAACCTGAATGTAACGCTGTAGCTTCTACTCATTCATGCGTTCAAATTATTTATTGAGCTCCTACTCAGTGTCAGGTGCTGAGTCCACACAAGGACTCACAGTTGACATGACACATTCTGTGTCCTCAGAGTGGTCAGGGCCCGGTACGGAAGACAGATGAGTAAAGCAGCAGATGCAATGTAACGGGGCAAGTCCTCCAGCAAGAGCGCGCAACGAGGAGCCAGGTAAGCAGAGGGGAAATGCCTCGGCCTGAAGCAGCCAAGGAAAGCTGTGAGCCAGGAGGGGAGGCGAAAGGCGTTTCAGGTGAAGGAAACCAGGAGTGAGAACATGACAGGTCTGGAAGTGGCAAGTGCAGCTCTGTGAGCAACTGTGTTGGTGGACAGAATGGAAGCCGGAGCACAAAGGGACTCACACACTGCGGTGCTAAGAGAAGTTCAGACTGCATTCTCGATCGAGGATTTTAAATAGGGAAAGGACTGAATTAGAGTTTAGTCTCAGAAAGGCCTGTTCCCGAGCAGCGTGAAGGATGAATTGGGTAACAACCAGATTGGTGACTCTACAGGCCAAAAGATTAATGGTTAGTGCCCATAGCTGGGGGAAAGGGGAAGAACAGGAAGTGACTGCAAAGGGACCCAGGGGACTTGAAGGGGATGATGGCAATGTTCTCAAACAGGACTGTGGGGATGGCTGTACAACTCTGCACTTACTGAAAGCCATCAAACTGTGTAAAAGAAGAAATTTTTAATGTAAATTATACCTCAATAAAGCTATTAAAAATAAGAGTAACAAGTAAATAAGAAAGTAAGGCACCTCAGTAAGCACTAGAGAGTTAGAAAGCTGTAGAGATGGGGTGCAGGGAGTCAGAGGATGTTCCTGGGAATCTGGGACCAGAAGCAGCAGGTCTACCAGCAGGACAGAGGCCCTGAAGTCGTCCTAAGCAGGTTTCAGGTTGCTGTGGCACTCTAGAGAAGGATTTCTTGAGTTCTGCATTATCAACATTTTGAACAGGATAATTCTTATTATGGGTATTGCCTTGTAGAACATTGAGCAGCTTCCTTAGCCTCTGTCCAATAAATTTCAATAGAGTGTGACAACCAATAATTTTCATACATCCTTCCTAGGCAAGGGGGCAGCCCCAACTGAGAACCATTCATCAAAAAAGAAAGACCTGGGGCTAGGGATTTAGCTCAGCAGCATAAGCACCTGCCTTGCAAGCAGGCAGTCATGAGTTCGATCCCCGGTATCGATAAAAAAGAAAAAGACAAAAAAAAAAAAAAAAAAAGACCTTTACTCATCATGTCCCCGCTTTGTATGCATACATGATTATTAAATACATTCACAAAGTTATACAACCATCACTACATTTTAATCAGCTCCAAAATAAATGCCATATTCTAGCAGCTACTCCCAGTTCTCCTCCCATCAGTCCCCGGCAGCCACTAATTTACCAGAGATTTCTATAGATTTGCCTAACACTTCATGTATGCAGACCACATGGCCTTTTGTGTCTACCTTCTATCAGATTACACGTTTTCAAAATTCATCCATGTATCAGTATTGTTTCCTTTTATGGCCAAATAATCTTTCTTTGTGTGGACAGATCAGAGTTTTTCTACTCATCAGTCAAGGGATATATGGAATCATTTCTACTTTTAGTTATTATGAATAATATTGCTATGAATGTTCACATATAAATTGTTGTATGGATATTTCCTTTTGGGGCGGCATAAAGAGGTAGAGTTGCTAGATCATGTGCTAACACTATGTTTAAAAGTGTGATGAACTCCAGGGGCTGGGGATTTAGCTCAGCGGCATAAGCGCCTGCCTTGTAAGCAGGCAGTCGTGAGTTCGATCCCTGGTACCGATAAAAAGGAAAAAGCCAAAAAAAAAAAAAAAAGTGTGATGAACTCCAGATGATTTTCAAAGAAGTGGTACCATTTTGCATGCTCAATGGTAACGCGAGGCTCCAATAGCTGCACATGCTTACCATCACCCGTGATTGTCCTTAAGTCATATTTTCTTGTTTTACCTTCCAAACAGACGTTTAATGTTAGGCCACATTTTAACTGAACAGATGAAACAATAAATGGTCAGAGGAAGGTGAATTGTACACGGTCACATTCAGAAGTCAGGAAAATCCTTTCCAGAACTAGTACTGATCCATATTGAAAAATGGTATAATTAATTACAGTTCTTTTCCATACTTCATGTAAGATACTGGTAGTCTGGGTTTTTATTTTGTTTTGTTCTTGGTACTGGGAATTGAACTCACGACCTCACGCTTGCCAGGCAATACTGTTCCTGCTGAGCTATATCCCTGGCACTTTTTTTGGCAGTTTGAAACATGATCTGTTTGTCTGTTTTTTTAGTTTTCAGGGGTCCAACCCTGCTCATACCCCTTTCGCTTTTATTCACTCAGAATGTCACATGGTAAATGTTCCCTCCTTTGCAACATTACTTACCTGATCTTTATTAGACCAATCCACTCCATCCCATAATAGTTCCCATCTTAAAAATACAGAAAATTTCTCTTGGTTCCATATTCTTTGCCAGTGTGTTTCATGTATCTGTTTGCTTTTGCATCAAACGCTTAACAGTTGTCTCTATACAAATCATTTCCAATTCCTCTTCCTCCACCCTTTCATTCTCAATTCCCCTTTCAATCCCAAGATTCTTCAAAGAATCACCAATGGCAACTACTTTACAAAATCCAAATGGTTCATTTTCAGCCCTTATATTACCCGCTTTAGCAGGAGCTTCTGAAATTGATCACCACTGCTTCCTTAAAATGCTGTCATCATTTGGCTCCCAGGACGCTGTTCCCACCCTCTTCCTGGTCACTCCTCGGTTCCATTCGTGGTTCTGCCTTGTTTTCCCAACCATAAAGAGTTAACACAGGGCTCTGCCTGAGATCCTTAATTCTTTTCTACTTAGAGGTGCATTAAGCATCTCAAGTACACTTCTAGGGTCTTTTGCTCCTAACCCTCATATAATCCTCCCCAGATTCTTCTCCCATTATAAACTCCTTTCTTCTACTTTCTCAGACTCCAAACTCAGATTCACCCTTGACTCCTCCCTTTCTCTGTGACCCCTCATTAGTTAGCGGCTCTGTCTTTTCTGGTCAGAATTTGACCACTTCTCTTCGTCACTGTAACACTGTGGTTCCCACCACTGCTGGATATTATAATAGTCTCCTAACCAATCGCCCTGCTTCCACACTGTGCCCCTATATTCTGTTCTCTACGCAGTAGCAGAATGATCCCTCTAAAAAAAAGTAGGCCAGATAACATCATTTCTCTGAACAAAACCCTTCACGGACTGTAACAGGTTGTTTGTAAACAGTCACAAGAGTGCCCCTATGTCCACATTCGTGGAGTCCCTTCCTACACTGACACTGGGTTGGCCGTGGCTTACTTTGGCTAACACAACACAAATACGAATCCAGCAGAGGACTGAAAAGAGTGGCTTGTCCATGTTCATGCAGGGAACACTTGCGCCACCATAAGCATAGTCAGGTAGCCTCCCAGAGGATGACTGACCACACAGAAAGATGCCACCACCATCCAGGTGTCCCAGCTGCGGGAGACCATCAAGGTCCAGATGAACTGGCCCACCCAGAATAAGGTAAGTAGAGAATCTTGAAACATAAACTTGTTCATTGTTTTAAGTCACTAAATACTGGGATGATTTTTACATAGCAAAAGCTAACTGACTCGCTGCTCACTTCACTTAGAATAAAAGCCAGTGTCTTACAACATCCATGGCCTCCCCTGATCAGGCCCCCTCATCCCATGTCACTTTACCCACAGTGCCCTTATGGTTCCTCATACCCAGCACCATTCTACCTGGGAGCCTTTGCACTTCATTCCCTAATTCATGGAATTCTTTTCCTCAGACATCAGCATCACGCATTCCACTCCCTGGCTCTTCTCTCTGCCATCCTATCAGTGAGAATCCCTCTTACCCCTCTAACAAATACCCTTGCCACTCCCTGTCTATGCCCTTCACCTGCTTTATTACTTTTAATCATTATCACCATACTTCTTATTATTAACCTCCTCCTACACACAAACACATACACCCTAACGAGACACTACAATTTATGCTCTAGAAGGGCAGGGACTTTGTCTTGTCTGACTCCTTAGCACTTATAGTAGTGCCTGGAATTTTTAATCATTAAAAAAATGATGGAAGCACTAATACTTCTGCCAATCTGGTGTCCAGGTCTATTATTCAAAATGTTTCCTGGGGCAGGAACTCCATGTTGGAGCACGTTTCCTTCATGTGAGCTGAATTCCTACAGCACCTATGACCAGAACCCATGCAGACAGACGACCCCTGAGCAGCGCAGCGGGGTGCTGGCTGGCCACTGGCCAACTCCTACGTTTGCTCCCTTTGACCTCCCCTCCTTCTCTCTTCTTTTCCCCACCAGTTTGAGAAGAAAACAAAAACGCCAAGAAAATATCAGTGATTTATTTTAATTCAAAATAATGTGGTTATATTTAGAATAATTATCCAAAGCAAAGCTCCAAAGCTCTGAAACACTCTTATGATATCATTCTTTTGAAGTCAAAAAATATGTAGTAAGAATGTACAAGGAAGCAAAAAATATAAAGTCTGCTGAGTACTGGGAGTTGGAACAAGAGGGGCACACTAAGATGCTGTAACAGAGTCCAAATTATAAAACATGCAGGAACAAATTCTTTTACTTTATCCATTCCCTGAAAAATAAATCAGTAATCTCAGAAATGTAAGAATACCACCACTTGATTAACAGTCCAAGGGGTATAGGTAATACTTCCTTTGTCTAATTTTCCTCGCACTGGCTTCTTTTCTTTGCTGTAGGATGGATTCGATGTTGTTGACAAAATATTTGTTTTTATTTGGCAAGTGGAGTAAACAATATGCTGACTGAAGTATGGAATAATTTATTTGAAGATAATCAGGGGTCACACTTTTTTAAAAGGTCATTTTAGTTAGCAAAAACCCTCAATGGTTTGCACAAAACAATTTTTTCCTCAGATGTTTGCTAAACAGACAAAAAGAATAAACAGTTAAAAATGGGTGAGAAATCCTAGGGATTACTGTTACTCAGACAATCAAAAGCAGACAGATGACCTTGATTAAACTCATTTACTTGTGGAGTGAGCTAGAAGGAAGCTCCAGGGGACAGTCTGTTCCAACAGTGTCCATACCAAGAGGCACACTCAGAAGTTCTCCTCCTCTCGTAGGAACTGGAACACAGCTGAGAAGTCTTTCTTTGAGTATCCCTTTGCACACATCATCCTGAAGATCTGATGGGCCAGACTGCCCAGAAAGATGGGGCTCTTTGTACTGGTGGCAGAGTCTTGTGCCAATCCCAAGTCCTAAATCAAAGAAGCATCAAAGAAGGAATATATTGAGGCTGGCAGTAAAGGCTTACTTTGGAACTATGGCTCCTAGTGCTTTGGTTTCAAAGAAAGAAAATAAGAGACTAAAAACATAAGATTCTCACAAGCAATATTTTACACCTATTTTTGTATATGTGGTACTAGGATTAAACCCAGGTCTTTGCACAAGCTAAGCAAGCACTCCACCACTCAGCCACAATCCCAAACTCATTTATAAGTGCTTTCATTCAGCTGCAGAACAGCTCCACACAGAAACCTAGATTTCTGGTGTCTACTTCACTTCCCCATCTGCCATAAGACCTACTTGTTCAGTTTTGCTTTTGGACAGAAGTAACTATTACAAGTAGAATTATACAGTGAAATTAATCCTCCCCCCCAAACCTATAGAAGTCTGTAAGATTACCATAAAATAAAAATATTTTCTAAATAAGGGGAAATAAGACTCCAAAACAGGAAACAGAGTTTCAAATATTACTTCATCCAATAAATAAGGTGTGTCGACAGTGTGTCAGCTGGAATACAGTGAAGAACAAGACAGCCACAGCCTACTCAAACAGCCTATTGACAAGGACAATTAAGCAAGCATTTGCATAATCTGACAGGAGAAGGGAGGAGCAGGAGCTAGGGAGGTACAGAGCAGCTGACACCTTCTAGAGGAAGCATGCCTGCCCACAGGGCTGAAAGGTACAGGTAGATTACTAGCACATAAAGGCACGGGGATAGAAGGGAGGTGGTGGGAAGGAAAAACGACCCTAGCAGAAGGAACAACAAATTTAAAAATTTTCAAATGAGAGAGGTCACGAGGCAGAAATGAGTTCTGCAAGGTGGGAGCAGACAAAGGGGAACAGGAGAGCAAAAATGAGTCTTTTGAGGCAGGCAATGTCCAGGGAACCGGATGAATTCTACATATTCAAGGTAGCAGAATACACCCAGGGTCTCGGGGAATGAGAGAGAGTAAGCCAAGTTCGGTATCTAGGTTTATGTACTGCTGCTTTTGTAAGGAGGCGGGCAGGAGCAGGGTGTAAATGAATGAGCTCTAAGCAGAAATCTGAAAAGCTACTGGTCCAAACAGCATCTCCCATAACTTGCTTTTCCAAAAAGACTTAGCTAACTTATATATAAGACCACATATTCTGTTAAAGCAGGAAGATGTACTTAGCAACCATGAGAAAGACCCCTCCTTCCTTCTGTGTACGAGCAATGCCAAGGCATTCATTAACAATCAGAAATTCTTACTGATCCCACTCTCATGAGTTGGTTGTTGACTTTTTTTTTTATCGGTACCAGGGATCAAACTCACGACCACACGCTTATGCCGCTGAGCTAAATCCCCAGCCCCCATGAGTTGGTAAATTAGTATAAATGTATGATGAAAAACAAAAATTTCTGGCTTATATTATTTTAAAAAAGCACAGAAGAAAAATCCTGGCTCCATTCTTCCCATCCCAAAGCCCAGTAACAAAATGAACAAGATAAGGATCTTTATCCAAGCTAAGGTTTCACTCAATTCTAATGGGACTTACTTTGGAAAGGGGAAATAGGCGAGAGAAAGGGGAAGAGGGGGAGAGGAAGAGAGTGGAAAGAGGAGTTGGAGGAAGAGGAGGAGGAAGACAATAGAAATTACACCAATAAGCCATAGATTTCCCCTCTTTTGGTTAGTTTCTGCGGTTACATACCTTAGCCATGAGTGTTGTTCCAAATCCACCCTGATAGTTATTAGCTGAAGGAACGCCATCCATCACCCCTGGTACAGGGTTATAAGTGTCACTTGACCAACAGCGTCCTGAACTCATATTTAGTATTTTAGCCAACAGTTTTGGGTCAAGCCCTAACCTGTCAAAGGTCAATGAAAAGAAGCATTGAATGTCAGCATACAGTTGTGCATGATTTATTTGCATATGTGGATGTTCCAGATTCTTTCCTCCATTTATTCCATCCATGTCTTCTAAAGTCAGAGCAGGTCAATGTGAGCAAAGAAGTCAATGTTGAATTACAGGGTATTGAAAACTACTGACTAAAGATCATCTGTGAGGCAAGACATTGTGCATTCAGGGGGAAAAAGACCTTTTTGCTCTATTCTGTTATTAAGAAATAATATATACATACCTGTATAAAAGTGCTAGTTTTGTTCTGTCACATGGCTTTTCTAGACTTGGATATTACCACTTTTATGTATCACTTATAAACTTTAAACCAACATAATAATCTGAATTCTACATTCTTTATATACAAATGATGTATTTCAGAAAGAAATATTGACAAATGAATGACATATCATGGGGTCTGTGTGTATGCATTTATACGTATGCTTAGTCTTTTGGTTTTTATGAGAATAAATGCAAGAGATGAGCCATAGCAATAAAATAAGCTTAAGAGAAGTTATCATTATAAAAAAAAAGACATTTCTTGCTGGAAACATTGCCTTATTTATTAAATCTTCATTAGACAATCTTGCTTATGAAGCAAGTCTGCCCAGAGCTGTGACATATGCTATCTATTCAGAGACGTGCATTATAGTTCTGGGTCAACTGCTGAGAAGGTTACTGATCCTGATAAAACAAAGCTTGCCCAAGCGGAAACATCATTTGTTCTATCACTGGACTGATGGCATAAATGGCCATTCAGTGGGGACCCTAGAAAACAGCACCAAAATACTCTATTACTTTGATTCTGACACAAGGGGAAGCAGTTTTGTTAAGTATCACCGAATCAAGTTTCAAATAAAACTTTACACCCAGCAATTTATTGGTTTTCTTCATGTAAAATGCCATTAAAAAACAATCACCATAAAAGCTTTCTGCATTTTCTTAAAACAATTTCTTCCAGGAAAATAAAACAAAACAAAAAATGGAAAAAAGGGGGCTGGGGATTTAGCTCAGCGGCATAAGCACCTGCCTTGCAAGCAGGCAGTCGTGAGTTCAATCCCCGGTACCAATAAAAAAAAAAAAAAAAAAAATGGAAAAAAGACACATAAATGTTAAACTGCATTTGGCATGCTTAAATTCTTGTTTACTTTGTGTGTTTGAAAGATATGTTCATTTCCAAATCTGAGTATCAGTACCAGCAAAACCTTTCTATGAAGTTAGAGCAGGGAACAGAGCTAACAACTAGGGTGTGTGTGGACTTAACACATAACACAACTAATACGTAATCATGCTTTCAAGGGGTGGCAGTGGTTCATGGCATGCCATATGTCTAAATGCCTTAAATGTGAATTTATAATAGTTTTTTTCTGGCTGGGTATGGTGGTGCACTCCTGTAATCCTAGTACTTGGGAGGCTGAGGCAGAAGGATCCTTCCAAGTTTGAGATCAGCCTGGGCTACAAAGTAAGCCCCAGGCCAGCCTGAACTGCATAGTGACACCCTGTCTCAAAAAAAAAAGGATAAAAAAATAGTTTTTTCTTAAACCAAGAATTGTAACACATATAGAAGACTCCATGTAAGCCATCTATCATACACTGTGTTCAGTTACAGATTGCCAGAGAGAAACCAGTTTTATTAGTTCTAAGATACAAGTTTGCTAAATGTGTAGTTTGCTATGGATTTCCTTCTCCTTTTACATAAAACTGGGTTATAGAGCTGGGGTTTTAGCTCAGCGGCATAAGCGTCTGCCTTACAAGCAGGCAGTCGTGAGTTCGATCCCCGGTACCAATAAAAAGGAAAAAGACAAAAAAAAAAAAAAAAAAAACTGGGTTATAGATACTGTAGTACATGACTTAGGAATAAAGCCAACGTGCTTAAGAAATAACTGTGAAAAGTAAAATCACAAATTAACAATCAGTTAATCTTCTGTAACTCCAAATACATTTGCTAAGCACAAATGTTCAAGAATGTATTTATATAATGTGCTCCACAAAGACAGAATATTTTAAAGACCCCAAACTATTGCTTTCCTTGCCCATTTGAAATGTATTTCAGGGCTTTCCTAATTTCAGTTTTAACAGGATTCATCACATCTTTACTAGGTTATGCTCAGTAGCACCTCACAAGAATCTTTACCACCAAAGACATTCAATCTGTAACACCAAAATGGTGAATAAAGCTTATTATAGTAACTTTGTAAAACCCTCCATTTTTCTTGAATATTCAAAGAAAAATATTGGTACTGATTTATGGAAACTTGTTTTAGTAAACCAACTACTACTGAGAAGCATCCTGAGAGGCGTGCACACACACACACACACACACACACACACACACAAATCAGGTGGCAGTTCTGCTCACTTCTCAAGCCTACGCTTCCTGGCTACGCAGGTCCCCTTCAGGAGATGGCTGCTCCCTCCCTGGTTTCCCTCCCCTGCCCCCACCCTGCAGCACAGTGTATCATTAAAAAGAGCAAGTGAGAAGTGTTTTGCATTTCATCTTTCTGAGAATTCTTTCCTTGGCACATACATAACTGACAGTTAGAATTAGACATGATATTAAAATCAGTTACTGAAGTCCTCTGTCTTCCACTGGTGCCCAAGGCTTGTAATGGTCTGAAACCAGCTAGAATACACAGTAATTGTCATTCAGAGAGTCTATCCTAGAACGTCATGCTTCGCTGGAGAAGACTGAGTTTCCATTTGAAATCAACAAATTAATCCAAGACAGGTATCTGAAAGGGCAAGTTTAATAGGAAGCAGCTACTGGGCTCTCAACCATGATAAAATGTTATTGCTGTTTCCCTGTAAATTGGCTGGGAACATATGATACTTTCTGCATAAGAGCCCCATTGCTGTTCAGGAGATATACAGCTCAAGCCATCAAAAGGATGACAGTCTGTCAGTCCCCATAATAAGTCGCCACTGGATGTGGTTCGAGAGTGCGCGCGTGCATGCATGTGGCTTACAATTGCTGGAATGTTCTCTGATATAAACAGAGAATGAATTCATTGCCCTGACCACATATAAAATGCAACTCAAATAAACATCACTGTGTCAGATCTACTCACCTCTAAAACACAAGAATGTTAAATGAACTTTTAGGAAATGTAAAAATGATACTTAAATTATTAAAAACAAATTAAGAATCCAAATCTTTGCCTTCACTATAGTCAAGGTTTTAAGAGCCAAAAAAAGTTTGCTCACTTTTGTATTCTCTGTAATTATTTATACTGTTTGTTTTTATGTAAAAACAATTATATCACCAAGCTGGAATTCTTGTATCACAGGAAATGAAACAACTAAAACCACGTCAATTTTAATCAGTCATTCACTTATTCATCAGTGCGTGCTCAGAGCGGCTATGCAAAGCCAAGCAGATTTAAGGAAACAAAGCGGGGGGTGAATTAAAAGGCACATCCTTACACACGTGATGAGGCAGATGTGCTGAGTCCTAGGGACTCACCGGCTCCTTCCCTCTCCTCATTCAGTCAAGTCCTCACCAAGTGCCTGTTAACGCCAGAAATGCTCTTAAGATTACAGATAGAGCTACTCTCCCTTACCGAGCTTACTTTCTAGATGGAAAGACAGGCAACAGACAAATATATACAGAACGTCGGCGAGTGGGAAGTACCGTTAGGAAAAAACATGCAAGTACCAGTTAATTCAAGCAACACCTACCTACAAGCACAAATAGCAACAACACGCATTGAGAAAAGCAGAAGTCTGTGGCACAGCTGAGATGCGGACGGACGGAGGCAGATACTCAAACTTTAACCAGCTTGAGACTCACGGCGCCATGGGGGTGGTGAACTTAACAGTCAGGCAGGCAACATGATGGCATCCTATCGGTTTATTAAGAAATCTGGTCAAATTTATTTTACTAAAGTTCACTACATACAACTAAAAGAAGTCGGTCATCACACAAAAGAAAAGGCAACATCTAAGGGCGGTAACCAAGAAACCAAAATAAGCTAGTGCTAGTGTTCTCCTCTTGGACAGCTTTCACCTGCTCAACAGTTCAACTGTTTTAAGTGTCTTTTGGAGGAAAAATAATATGGTGTCTGCTAGAGGGGCCTCCACCTGAACAGCAATGCAAAAAACCTGTCAGACCACTAATACTTAAAAAGAAACCACTTCCCAGTAGAGCAAAAATAAAAACAAAACAACAAACATTAACAGTGCTGCTCCTATGTGACGCATAGGAACAAAACTTCTGTAATGCAAGTAGGTCACTTTCCAGGCCATAAAACTACTTCACAGCCCTAACTAGGAACCCAATTAGAAAGTGGAGAGGTCCAATAAAAAAGAATCTCAAAGTATATTGTATACCAATATTTCTTACTCTTTATTTTTTTACAACATTTTAAAGTTTCACTAACACCCATAAAGACTCACTGTAAAAGCGCATAGGGTCAATAAGAATTTTAAACTGTAAGATTTTATTCTTCTATTAAAGAAGGAAGGAAAAAAAAATGGAAATAGTAGCCCAGAATTTAAAAAGTATGAAAGAAAGAAAAACACCGACTTATGAAAATGAAATTAATCAGAAATGATCATTTCATAGGAGCAGGTCAGTTTGTAAACGCTGACAGTAAATACTCTCAAAAATTCCTCTTCACAGTGAATGGAATATAAATGTGCCCGAACACTTTGATGCTATACTACTTTGTGGAATTTACTGCTTGGGAATTTATGCTTGCTGATGCCAATTTTCTCTTTCACCTTGCAAAGCTCAATAAATTGTGGCTGCTCTCTGTACTCTATTAGAGAACAATCCTGTCATTTTAAACTGCGTCTGTAAACCATGGAGAAAAGACAATAGCAAAAGCATTCATTTTTAGGGCTTTCAAACCCTAAGAATCTTTGTATGATAAAGCGGTAAAATCCTAATGTTATGAAAATAACATTATTTATTAATATGTAACTTATTAATACAATCTGAAACTCTAAAAAGTTATAAATTATTTTAACTGTTAACAGATACTACACTTAGCCAAAAGACTGAGAAGTAATGCATTTAAGCAGTTAAATAAAATGAGTTTCCCATCTTATGTTCAGCCTTTGTATATATTTGATATATATATAATATCTGTCTACTTATATACATATATATGTATACAAATACATACATATGTATATATGTATACAAATACATACATAAAGATATACATATATCTGTATATATAAATATATTTGAAAATCAGTACATATATAGTGTTTTGGAAAAGTTGAACATTTAAAACTTTCATAGTTGCAAATATTATTTGTCATACAGCTCATGGCCCAAAATAAGGGAAATTCTATTGCTTCTGCTATCTATTGGGAACCATACCAGTTTTTATATTCTTCTTGAAAACAAGAAGCTGGTTTTTCATTTCAATTATTACATTTTATTCAATTGGTTTTCTTACTTTTTTTATCAGTCAGTGTTTGAAAAACTTTCACAAGCACTTACCCTAAACAAAACTTCATTTTAGAAGGGCAAATAATTATCTAGTCAGAATTTTGACAGGGTAATTATTCAAGGAATTCTACAAAATGTCCTACTATGCCTATGGGACATCCTGATCCAGTGATGCCCAAGGTAAGGATTAAAGAATAAACTGACCTGAGAAGGGGAAATTTTACTACTGCATAATCTAAGTGCCTCTCAGCTTTCACTTATGATGATAGATATGTCCACATATACAGAAAATGAAAACAAAATTATAAAGATGCATATGTATACTAATCCTATTGTCAACAACAATGTATTTCAAGTGTAATTTGGTTCTAGAAATTTATATTCTCAAGCTGGGCATAGTGGCTCATGCCTGTAATCCCAGCACTCGGGAGGCTGAGACAGGAGGATCGTTGCAAGTTCGAGACCAGCCTGGGCTACAAAGTGAGCTCAAGGCCAGCCTGAACTGCACAGCGAGACCCTGTCTCAAAAAGACAAAAAAAAAAAAAAAAAAAAAAAAAAAAAAAAAGAAAGAAAAGAAATTTATATTTTCTTATTCTATGAAAGTAGTCTAGGCAGTAATGGCAAACCCTATGGCATGCATGCCTGGTTGTTTGTTATCACTGAAAGCTCTAAAAGGTTCACCATCACTAGTCTAGAGAATGGACATAACTAGAAGTTACTAGGAACCAGTTTTTCAATTATGATGCGTGACCCAGAGCCTAAAACTAACCACAATAGAGAAGTGACACTTGAAGAGCTTCCTGTGTACCACCAGTTTTATTAAGGTTCTGTATAGACATGCCTTACCATCTTATAGACATTCAATTTTAAAATGTAAATGGCACAAGATATTGATAAACCAATTAGTGCTGATGCAAAGCAAATTCCTCTTTCATCTCAATTACAACATGACAACTTAATAGGTCAAGATAGTTTAACATCTGAGACAAGGGCAATTCGATAAAACAACAGCATCCTGATATGGTAATTAAGAGAAAATGTGAATCCATTACCATGTTTTAAAAAATATCTCTAACACTCTGGCTCTTTTATTGCTTTTATCAGAAAGTATGATGTGAAACACTATTTTGCTTTGTGATATTTTTGGTAAGTTTTGGGGAATGTGAAGAAAACATCTGAGTAAAGCAGCTTGCTCATTAAGCATTTCTGAGGTTAAAAAAGTATATTTAATATATGCATGAAGTATAAAACATTCAAAAATTAATTGTGTGATTAATCATATATAGTATTTTTAACCCAAAAGATTAAACACTAAAATTAAGACATTAACCTTAAGCATGCTAAAGGATCATCATATATAGGAAAAACACAATTCTTAAATCGCTTTAGACAAAGTATGAAAACCATTTTATTTTATAGATGTAAAATAATCAAACCATAGCAAGCTAAAATGCAAGCTATACATACGAACTGTGGCTTTAGGAATGTAATTCAGCTTATTCTGAGAATGAGTCACCAAGAACCTTTTTTAATAAAGATTTTGGGAACTATACTATAAATAGATATATAAAACCAGTCACATGATAGCTAAACATTTGAATTCACTATACATTTAAACCATATTCCACACATATTTGTACTGACACTAACAAAGAATGTTTAAATTTTACAGTAAAAGTGCTTCTTGTATTTCAAAATAACAGAAGAAATGGGGCTTCCATATAAAAAGGATAATATCACTTCAAATGCACAGTGCAATATATTTTATGGCTATGGTAAACAGCATTCATGCTCTCCAGGGTCCTATTGTTTGTCCAATAAGTAAAGTCTATTAAAGCTCAATAATGAAGTACTCGCAATATGTCCCTGACTCAACTCATTCATTTCTAATGAACATCAGTTTTAAACATCAGAAAATCAAATAAGAAAGCCAATAAATTAAAAAAAAGAAAGCCAATAAAGTTGTTAGTATATGAAAATGTACTATTCAACAAACCTGATTCCAAGATTCATGGTTTCAGCAGTTCCAATCATACTAATAGCTAACAGCATGTTGTTGCAGATCTTGGCAGCCTGAAAAGAAAGTGCATACTAAATATCTTTACTTTCAAGTTATTACCCACAGGTAAGTTTTCAGGCTTCTTTCAAAAAGAATACTCAAACTGCTGATTCTCTCAAATGAGGAAGAGAATGTGGTGAGCACACCACCTGAACCTAATGTTCTACCCACAGCAGTTAGAATATCTTGCTCGAGATAATAAATGTGCAATAGTAACTGAGCTCCTACTATGGGATCTGCACTAGAAGGTATATTGATCCATCGGCAGAACTGCTGTTAAGAGACGGAAGTTACATCCAACTGGGAAATGGGGGTAATATGCTGCTTGAAAGGCAACAAACAAACAGAAACAATCAAGTGGTAAAGTGCTCTATATGGCAGAGAAAATAAAGCAGGGACGGGAGTTCAAAGGAACAAGAAAACTAAAGGCAGGAGCACAGAGGAGGGAGAACCTGAAAATATCTTTCAGAAAGCACAACATAAACAGATAAAAAAGAGACGTTAGGGTAAAAAATAAATGTGTAAGAAGGATTAAATATAGAAGAGGATGGCATGTTCCTGGAATTATTAAGAAAATTACTCATATGCCTGCTTTCAGGAATGGTGGAAAATCTCACAGTTAAAACTGTCAAGAACTGGTTAAAACACTGAGATTCCGTCTCACCCCAGAAAGAATAGTTAGTATCAAGAGATCAAGCAGTAACAATTGCTGGAGGGGCTGTGGGAAAAAAGGAACCCTTCTCCACTGTTGATGGTAGTGTAGGCTGGTGTAACCACTATGGAAATCAGTGTGGAGATTCTCAAAAAACTAGGACTAGAGATCCCATTTGACCCAGTTACTTCTTTCTGGGATTTTCCCAAAAGAATTAAAAACATCATATATGTTTATAGCAGCACAATTTGTAATAGCCAGATCTTGGAAACAACCTAAATGCCCATTGACTAGAAATGGATAAAAAGATGTAGTATTTTTATACAATGGAGTGCCACTCAGCCATAAAGAAGGATAAACCAGAGTTTTATAGGTAAATGGATGTAACCTGAGACTATACTCATAAGTGAAATAAATAAGACACACGTGTCAACATCATATTATCTCACTAGTATGAGAAGCTGAAACTGTATATATATATGTACATATATATATGAGATAGTTATATTACTGCTTTCTTTAAGTTCACTGAAGAGAAAGATTTGTGCTGGTATTGTTCAGACACTTGAATGCAGACATCTTGTGCTCCAGGTAAATGATTTGGGGATGACAAGGTGCAGTGTATGTTACCATTGCTGCCCCCCTGATTGATGTGTTTTGAAATTTTGTTTTAGGCTTTTTTTTTCTTTTTTCTTTTTTCTCTTTAAAATAAAATGGATTTGGAAAAACAAAAAACCAAAGCAAGAACTGGTTAAAAGCTATGAAAGCTAGGGCCAGAGAGTTAAAATCAGACATGGGATAAAACAGGAATCTATACAAAGTTTTAGAATGGAGGGGTATGATAATGATACAACATCTTGATGGAATTGGTTTTGGTACAGTGTGAGAGTGATAAATTTGGCCTCATTTGACCCCAGATGAGCACGAAACTAGGACAAATGGACAAGATGGTCAATGGGACTCACTGAGGCAAAACAACACAGCTTGGAGAATGCCTACACAAGAGTATGGAGACAATAAATATAACAACAAAGTCTGGAGGAGACAAATATAACACCCTAGAACCAAACATTAAGAAAGGGAGAACGTGTGTGTTAGGAGTGGGGTGGGTCAACCTACCTGACTTCAGAGCTCACAATCACCTAATATCTCTAAATGAAAAATACTTGCTTTTCAAGAAAAATACTTCAAAAAATATTAAAGTGCTTAGGTTGCTTCTACCTGATTATACTAAAAACAGACATGCAAGCAAGTGATTACAAAGATGCAGAACAAGATCCACTTAGCCAGTGTGAGTACTTCAAATTCAGCAACTTTAAACATTAACTCAGTATTCACTTGAATGACAGGGAGGGAACTTTTGGTATCTCTTTAAAAAAAAAAAAACTGGCTGATATCCGCTTAAACTCACTGGAAATGGTGGGAAAGTAATTAATTCTAAATTAACTTAGGAAAATCTGAGCAAAGGGTCCACAGGTTGAACAGAATAAAGAGAAATAAGAATAAGGTTAGGGAAGAGAAAGAAGCGCAAGCCAATTTTACATTATTACGTCAAGGTAATCAATGTGACAGCGGTACCTGCCCAGTCCCAACAGCTCCACAGTACACCACGTTGGAGCCCATGCATCCCAGCAACTCTTTGGCAGCAGCAAATTCATCTTCAGCTCCTCCTACCATAAACGTGAGGTTCCCAGATCGAGCAGCTCCTACACCTGAATTATTTGGGGGTAAAGAAACAGAAGCAAAAAAATATATTTCTTAACATGTTTAAATAAAAAACAACAGGAGGAAATCCCCAAATCAAATGAAAACATCCTGCTTCCAAGTTTATTCATGCCAGACATGTATAAGATACTTCAAATCTCCTCCCAAATTGAAATATGGGTCTAGTCATATTCTCATTCTTAATGTATCTTAAACATATTGGCACAATCATGGCACAAATAAATATATATAGAAATCTGACATGTGGATTTTATTCTAATTCATCTATCATTCTAAGAAACAGTAGCAGAAAGTATACAAAAAATGGTTTACCTGGGCTCTGACCAGCACACCCCAGCCAGAGGGGCCTTTTGCCCGAGTTTGGACTTGAGGTATTTGATTCCCTCCCTCTATAAATACTATCTACAAATGACAGCCACACAGAGAAAGACTCGCTTTTTGACCCATAAACAAGTAAGAATTTTGGATGGTAAGATTCTTTTTAAAGGGAAAGAAAACTGTTTTTTACTTAGATTGATTGCTCTTTTATGTACACTTTCCAATATTATTTGATTTTCTGTTCCTTCCTGCTATTCATATCTTTTGGACAAATTATTTCTAGTGATATGAGAAGGAAAAAGAAATGTTAAATATTAGTTCAGCTACTTTTCAGTAGCTTTTAACAAAGGCTTAATGCACATTCATTGATTGAAATGATTGGAGAAATAATTTCTAATTTAGCACAGAAACTTTGGCCTAGGCTTATCTTAAAAGGGGGTGGGAAGCATCTCTCATATTATTAACTATAAAATAAAACCAAGAGTATTATTTCTATTTTTAGTACTGAAATAAATCTTCACTCATAATTTCCAAGTTAGATTTGGTTCAGAAATAGAAAGGTATATGGAAAAGCAATTATTAGTATAAATTTTACCTTTATAATTTATTTTACAGTACATCTAAAAATAAACCATAATTAATTAAACATCAAACCTGGCCATTATATAGATAGCTTCAAATAATTACCTACTTCTGAATTTAATGTATTCAATAAAATACAGTTTTTACACCTTTTTTTAAAAAGCTCAAGTAAGAGTTTCATTCAAATTGTAATGTTTTGCTGCCATACTGCCAATCAAGCAGTATTCTCTTTTAGGGTTAATACTATTTTCAACCAATTATTAAAAGCAAAGGAGAATGAAAGATATTGTGTTGGCCAAAACATCTTAGAACAGTGAGTACCATGTGAGTACATGTTATGATGCCTAATATGCTTACATTTATGGGTAAATTACATTATTTTACAATAATCTTCAGATGCACTTTAAAATGGATTACATCCGTATAGAAACTCTTTTCACAAACTCATGGTTGTCAGGCAGGCACTTATGCCACTGAGCTACATCCCCTGCCACTAAAAACCCATTTATAAGCACTGGGGATGCAGTTTAGTAGTAGAGTTTGCCTGGCATGTGTGAGATCTTAGATTTGATCCCTTGTATTGGGGGGGGGGAACTAATAAGAAAAAATGCTTTCTGTTAGCTGATCTATCTCATTTGATCATTCATATTAATACTCAGTACCCAACAATGAGCTAATTTTATTCAATCTCTATAACCACCTTTCTCTGGATCCTATTCCTCTGACGTAGAGAAATTAAACAGACAATTTAAGTCAAAGCTTACAAACAAATCCAGTACTATACATCAAGGGTCAAGAGCTTTGTATCTAGATTAGAAATTTCTAAATAGCTTCAGAGAATCTTATTAAAAGAAAATTAATGCTGACAATGGTTCTCAGCTGATTAATCTTTTGACAAGTGCATTTTCTCAATTGTTCAAACACATATTTCAACAAGACAAAGTTTCTTAAGCAAGAGCAGACCATAAAAGAATAATTTATCTTTTAATCTTGAAATCTGAAGTAGTTTCACTGTTTCCACCTCCAATGTGATGTAATTACTTCCAACTTTATCATAACCTACATCCTAATGTAAATATCTTGACTAAATCTGACTACAAGGAAAAATTCTAAAATTTGGCATCCCTCAGGACTGACTCCCATCTTCCTGTACTATGTATTCTTTTAGTGGTACAACAATGTTAAGAGCTTCGCCCCATGACATACTAAGTTACCAAAAAAGAAACAAACAATTTGAATTTAAGGTCCCAGAAGATTGGAATTCAAAAGCTATGTAAGACACTTAATGGACTTCAGAAAACACTGTATGGATTTTTACATCTATCAATAATATCAATATATGGATTATCCTGGCTTATCATTTTAATTCAAGTCCATTTTCCAAAGTAGGAAAATATAGAATGCATACTCAGGTAACTGTCATAATAATGGGAGAATATTTACATGTTCCGCACAGTGAGTATTTACAGATTTGGATGCCAATCCAAAAGTATGAAATCGAAAATGCCCAAAAATCCAAATATTTTTTATATTGACACCACAAATAGACATTATAAGTAGAAAACTCTATACCTGACCTGATATGATAGTCTGCTGTTAAAATGCAGGAATGTTGAAAATATTGTGTAAAATTACCTTCTGACTACGTGTGTAAGATTCATAAAAAACAAATAAATTACATCTTCAGATTTGGGTCTTGAACCCCAGATAAGACATTATCTATATGACATTATCCGAAATCTGAAAACATGTAAAATGTAAATAATTTCTGACCATAAGCATTTCAGATAAGACTACTCAATTATATTTTACTTTAATTAATAAATAACCAAAACATACTGTTTAATATTACAGCATTTATATTTATTAAAATCTTTGATTTTCTCCATGGTTCCTCATCAAGGTTAGCATTGGGAACTTGTAAGATCCCTGTTATCTATCACAGTAAATGATACGTATTCAATAGACGATTGGGAATTACAGTTAGCATGACAGAGTAAAGGATGTGGAGATGTGATGCCTAGTTTTTGGAATATCATTTGCTGACTGTGTGATATTAATAAAATTACTTAACTTCTAAATTTCAATTTATAAAACAACAAATGCGTAATAACTTCTCAAGACCTACAAAGCCCCGAGGGACTTTTTAAAGCCACCTTTGGCTACCTCTGCTATCTGATTTCATACCATCCTTCCCATACTTGCTACTTTCCATTCACCGCGTTCTCCTAGCTGTTCCAGAGACCGGCCAAGCTTATTCCGTCTCGAAGCCTCGCACCTGCTATTCCTTCTCCAAGGAATTTCTTCCTCCAGCTGTTCAGGACTTGTGTCTTTCACTCAATTTAGCTCTCTGCTCAGTGTTCACTACATCAGCCAGGCCTGCTCTGACCACTTACTATAATAATCCAAAACTGTTCCTTATCCTCGTTAATATCCCTTTCCTGCCTTAATTTCATTCGTAACATTTACTGCCAGCTGTTTAACACTTCTATTTGTTCCTAGTCTATGTTCTCCAAATGAACATGAGGTCCATCAAGGCAGTGACAACTGGTCCATTAACCCCACCTCTGGTATATAAAAAGATGCTCAATAAATTAAGAACTTGTTCAAAGGAAGAGACAGAAGTACTACGGTTCGGATGTTTCCCCCAGAGGCAGGTGTTGAGAACTTTCTCCCTGAGACAACAGAGCTGAACCATGAAGCCTGCTGAGAGGTGACCAGGACATGATGGTTCTGCCCTCACGAGTGGACTAATGCCACGTGGAGAGAGGGGCTGCTCATGAAAAAGACAAGAAGGGGCTGGGGATTTGGCTCAGTGGTAGAACGCTTGCCTAGCAAGCTGGAAGCCCTGGGTTCGGTCCTCAGCACCAAACCTGAAAAACAAAAAACCCATAAAAAAAAAACACAAAAGATAAAAAAGACCAAAAACAAACAAGGTAACATGAAAAAGACAAGTGTGGTCCCTGCCGTGTTTTCTCACACCACTCTCTCTCTCCCCTTCTTGTTCATCTTTGCCCTCCTGCCATAGGTCACCAAACACAAAGACCCTCACAAGATGCCAGCCCTCGATCTTGGACTATAAAGAATAGGTCTTTGTATTTTATAAATTATCCAGTCTCAGGTACTCCGTTACAGCAGCACAAAATGGACAAAGACAGGAGGTAACAGCGAAGAAAGACTGAGGAAACAAAATCCTGCAGTCAGCACTGCTCTCATAGATCCACACAAATGCCAAGGACTGCAAAGCACTGTTACCATTAAAAGCTGCTTACCTCTTCTGCAAATAAGGAGGGGAAGGGGATGAAGGGGCAGGATAATGGGGAGAAAAAGAAGAATCGAGACATACCATGTACAGGTACACACTCCCTATGATACATTTTATCTTTATGTATATCTAAAAATCTACCAATAAAATTAATTTAAAAAATAATCTGCTTGCCTCCCGCATCAGTCCTGGGCATTGAACCCAGGACTTTCCCACTGAGCTACTTCACCACTCCTTTGTTCTTTTCATTTTTACTTTAGACAACATCTTGCTAAGTTTCTACACTGTTCAAGCTGGGCTTGAACTTGGGATCTTGCAGCTTTACTGGAAGTACAATGAACTTGAGACCTCCCAGCTTTTCAGGAGTACCCCATTTTGCCTTGATTAAAGTTTTTCATCTACAAAATGAGGTTCTTAGAAAAATTAATCAATTAAAAAAAGAAAGAAAAATTAATCAATGAGTTACTTTTTGAAATTCTAATTGGGAATTTCTAAATTCACACCATATTTTAAATTTATCATATTAACATATAAAGCCATGATATGTTTCACTTTGTACAACACATAATTTGTTCCAAACTGGAAAAAAAAACAAGAAATTAACTTACTTATGTAACATTAAAATCTAACATGCTTGGGCTGGGGATTTAGCTTAGTGGCATAAATGCCTGGCTTGGAAGCATGTGGTCGTGAGTTCGATCCCCGGTACCAATCAAAACAAAAACAAAACACAACAAAATCTAACATGCTTAAATGTTTGTGGTTGCTTTAATGTTCTACCTAGCACTTTCTTATGATGATATCTCTAGTGATTTTGTTCCA